AAATACATCAGATGTAAGATGCATCCTGAATTCAGAAACATTAAAGTATATTTTAAAAGTACGCCTTAAAATGGCATAAATATGGTATAAGGATTCAGTCATGTTTCTTGAAACAGAGAAGCAAGCCAGACCAGAGAACCGGAAATCCAAGGGCTCCCCAGGGATGATTCTTCCTTGTCTGCCATTCATGTTTCTTCTTGCAAGTCTGTTTTTCTCTTCTTTCTTGATACTCCAACTTTCTTTGCTAAACAATTTTTCAGGAACCAACCAACATGAGAGGTGCATCGTGGCCAGTGCTGTGCTAGTTTAAAAACTAGCTCTCTGGGGGAGGAAAAATGTGTGTACATATAATTTTTATTGCGATAAAGGATGCAGAGGACAGAATTTATAAATAATAATAAACTACACAATACTCTTTATCATAAATCCCACACAGCCAATCGGTTCTCATAGAATACTTTTGTTGATTTTTGCAGAACTTATATCCCTAGCCAACCTGTGATTACAATTGATGAACAAGTCCAGCTCTGACATGAATACTGGCTGATGTTTTTTTCTTAAATTAATGAATAAGACAAAAGCAAAAAAATGAAGATAAATGTAAAGACATCAGTTGTTTTTCAATGACGCAAGAGACTCTTTATTGAATGAGACAGTAGTTTTCAAATGCGGGAAGAATATTTCCTTGATTTTTCAGTCCTATTTACTAAGTAATGGTTACAGATATGACACATTTAAATTTAATTTTTATCACTGGTTCTCCACTGGAGAGAGATTTTGCTCCTCAAAGGACATTTGGCAATCCAGAGACATTTCTGGTTGTCACGACTAGGGAAGGAAGGGGTGCTACCCGCATCTAATGAGTTGAGGCCCGGGGCATCCCTCCCACAATAAAGAATTATCTGGCCCAAGGTTGAAAAACCCTGATCTGTATTATTAACATTTTCTCCATAAGTTTTTAAAGGGTAGACAACCAACAAAACAATAGATTGAGCCCAGATTTGTAGTGTTTGCCAATTTCTGCGGTGTAAATACTTCCACTGTGATAGTTAATTTTATATGTCAACTTGACTGGTCTACAGGATGCCCTAATAGCTGGTAAAACTATTTCTGGGCGTGTTTGTGAGCGTGTTTCTGGAAGAATTTGAATTGGTAGACTGAGTAAAGAAGGTCTGCTCTCACCAATGTGGGCAGGCACCATCCGATCTGTTGAGGACTAGAATAGAACAAAAAGGCAAATTCTCTCTCTCTTCTTGAGCTGGATGTCTACCTTTTACCGCCCTTGGACATCAGAGTTCCTGGTTCATGGGCCTTCAGACTTCAGAACTTATACACTCTCCTTCCCTCACCAGACTTAGACTCAGTGAGACACCACTGACTCTCCTGACTCTTCAGCTTGCAGATGACAGATTGTGGGACTTCTCAGCTTCTATAATTGTGAGACCGATTCCCGGAATAAATCTCCTCTTGTGACTATCCATATATCCTAGTGGTTCTGTTTCTCTGGAGAACCCTAACCAATACAGCCAGTGTGGCTGATTTCAGGGTACCAATGTGCCATCTGCAAGCATGGAGTTGGTAAGAGACGCGAGTAGCCACCATTACATAACGTTTCCACCACAAAGATACAACGCTCGTCAATAACCCCAAGGGCATAAATAATAGTAAAATGTAGTGAAATAATTAGTAATAGGTTCGGTGTATTTATTACCTTTGTAATATCATTTAGTTATAAGTAAACTTATTTAATTTTTAATAATGGCTGTTTAACAACTGATGTAAATTCTTGAAAATGTAACAATCAGTTCTTGTGGGTCAGTGTGGACCACCTGGCTTGCGCAAGCCACTGCAATGGCTATCAACCACGCTCAACTTCACATTTTATATACCCCACATCTTGGAAAGACTGACTCAGTTACAATTTCAGTTTTCCAGAGAAGGGACTCTGATTGTCCCAGATTGGAATAGGTACTCGCTATGGTGTAAACCTACAAAGCCATCTTGTAAATGTGGCTAGACCCCAAGGGAGCCAGCCCCCTTCCCACTAGGAAGTTACCAGAAAGAGCATCACTGTGTGAGGACAGGCACCTCTTGCGCCTGTGTCAGTGCTGCAGACACACTGCCACATGCTTCCGATTCTCAAGACTCCACGCAGACTGAATTTCTGATTCACCCGCTTTCTTCCTTCCCCCACCCCCGAAGATTACAAAATAATATATGAGATCGGTGGTTCTGGAAGTGTGGTCCCTGGATCAACAGCAACCAAATTTTGGGGTTCCACCCCAAACCTACTGAAAGAAAATTTCTGATGATGGGGACCAGCAGTCTTTCTTTGTTTCAAAAAGTCCTCCGGCTTATCCTGAGGCATGCTAAGGTATTAAATTATATAGCTTTTCTTTTTTTTAAAGCTACCTTCTATCCTTTGGGACAGCAGCAGAACAAATCCAGATGATCCTGATTAAATTTGGCATTTCCCTTTAGTCTCCAGAAATGACAGATAATTTCTTAGGATGAGTTACTCCTACAGAGGAAAATCTCAGCAATCATATATTGATTTTTACTGTTTTTTTCTTTTAGAAGATGACTGATTTTTTAATTTCTGTGACTAGTATAGCCTTGCATACACTGTTAAATCATATACCTCTTACAAAATTTAACTTTTCATGATCTATTTCTTGATTTTCCAACTAGCTGGTAATTTCTTCCAGGCAGGAACTATGTTTTTGCTTGGGCCACCAAACCTAATGTAGTACAGAGCTCATATATAAGATATTTAAATATGGGATTGAATAATTATGAACATTTTTAAAAATTTTCTTTGTCTAATCCTTTGCTTTCTTTTACAGGCATTATTTAAAATTTATCATATATAATTTCCAAAGTAGACATGCTAGAAAATTTGTAAATAATTTGAATAATAATTAAACAGAAAATGATTGATATCTGGACTTATCCCCCCAAATGGTGGGATTTGTACCAAACTGTAGCATAAAGAAGAAAATAAGAATCACCAGTTATTCTACTGTTCAGATAACAACTTGATATTTTGGTACGTTTCCTTCTAGTCGTTATTCTATGGTTATATGTTTTTGTTACAAAACAGAGAATATTCTACTTTTTTGCTAAACATTACGCCATGAGCATTCCCATATCAATGAATATTTTTTAAAATGTGGTTTTTAGTGGTTCCATGTTATTTGGTGGTATGTATGAACTGTAATTTAACTATTCTGCCATTTAAGACATTTCGGTTGTTTCAAATATTTCTCTTTTTTTTTTATTTCAGCACATTATGGGGGTAAAGATGTTTAGGTTACGTATGTTGTCCTTACCCTCCCCTCCCCCCCAAGTCCGAGCTTCAAGCGTGTCCATCCCCCGGACAATATTTCTCTTTTTAAATAACTATTGTGCTGAAATGGGACACATGTGTTTTAAATGAGTACATTCCCTTTTAGAGTCAGAATTGATTGGTTCTTTTCAGTGTTTCTAAACTCTCCTGGTCATCTTTTTCCCTCTTTTATATTGAAAAGTTGGTCAAGAACTCATGTCTATCACTCTTTGATCTCAGTCCTTAATCAGGATTTAATGCACATGTTTACATAAACATCAAAATCAATGAAAATCAAAATTTAAAAGAAGGCTCTTAACTGTAGCTAGTACCTACTCCAGTTTACACTGATGGTCTCCCATCTGGCCAGCTGTTCCTTTGTGTTCCCTGGAAATTTCCATAATTGTTACAATCATCTATCACAACCCTTCAGGTTTTTTCATGTCATAACATTTAATCCCTAAATCAGGAAAATGATAATAAATTATTATTTTGCTCATTGAATTATAAGCGACTCAGGAAACAGATATCCATGCAAAAGTGCCACCATGTTTAGCACAAGGACATATTCTTTGTAAAATATCTTAAGCTTTCAAAAGCCCTAAAAATCAGCAAAGCGTTTTAGGTAAAAGAGTGAATTAACTTCCTATCTTGGTTTATTTCTGGCAAAAGGCAGATATCTTTTAGATGAAATATCAACCCCCACCCCCAAACTTCCTAAATTGAAATGAACAATTCTCTATGATCTTTTGTTATGAGAAACCATCTTACCCATTATCAATTCACTGAACTGGATGATATTCCTCACTTTTTTGAGTGGGAAAAACTAACATGTCAAATACTGTTGAATTATAACAACTAAAATTTTTTTGAAAAAAAATGCTTCAATGGCATGGAACCAAAAATAAATGCAAGCAGTTTTTAGGGTCTTTAAAAAAAATCTCTGACATAATTTTTTTCCCTCCAATTTAATTTTTTTCTTGGGTTGGACTTAAAAAAAAAAAGAATTTCTGATTACATCTGCAATCACGTCATTGAACATCTTGATTGCTGAACACATGACCAAAAAACACGGCTTCAGTTAGCTTGAGGTAAATGCTCAATTATCACCAAGATATATGTAAGCAATCTAGAACTGAAGGAGTAGAGACGAATTTATTTCTGAAATGCCTTAAATGGATGTAACTGTTTAACTTCCCAGGAAATTTAACAGGCCAGCAATGCACACTGCCCTTTCACTATGTACATATGAACTAGTATTATTATTTAGGTTTTTCTCACTCTCTGGCACATTAATTTTTGCAAGCGACTTCAGAAATCCTGATATGAACTTCTAAATATAATAAGTAAGGATCTTGCCTTAATTGGGGTGTTCTACGAGGAGGCTTTTGGAGCTGAACTAGCAGGTGCAAGCGGGTACAGTAACAATAAAAAATGCAGCACACCGGCCTCAACACGATTCAGAACACTTGGGTTTCAATCCGCTTTCACTTCTGCCTATCAGCGGGAGATACACAGGCGCGCTGCCGGAGGGCGCCGCCAGGGGGCGGCCATCCGCCGCCGCTTCGCCAATAACAGACGCCACCGAGCGCTTTCTTCCCTTCTTTCTCGCTCACCTCAGCTTCCGCCGGGAGCAGCTGTTGGCGTTCGGTGTTTGGGCTTGGCTGTGCAGCCTACGGTGGGTTCTCGGCCGCTGGCCTGGGGAGGCTGGGTCTGAGGAGCCGGAGACGGAAACTCGACCTAAAACCCGGGCAGCGAGATGGACATTCTGAAGTCAGAGATCCTTCGGAAGCGGCAGCTGGTGGAGGACAGGAACCTGTTGGTGGTGAGGACCCCTGTCTGTGGTCGTGGGGGCTGGGGCTGGAAGTGTGTGTGTGGGGGTGGGTGGGTATGTGTGTATACGTATGTGTGTCGGGGTGTTGGGGGTGATGGTTACCGAAAAGATTTGGGGCGGGGGTAGGGTTTAGCGAGAGCCCTGCCACCATACCCGGAAGGCACCCCCTCACCCTCGGTCCACCCCTGGGCACCTCACTCGGGAGCCTTAGGGATGGAAACGTGGGAATTGCAGGAAAACCCGAGGCTTTGGCTGTATCCCCTCCCTCATGTTTTAGTGTTTAAGTCCATTTTGTTAAAATAAAAAACAAAACGCCGCGTGGGCATCAGGAAATGGCTTTCCCCACCCTATCTGTGGCTGGAAAACACTTGTCTATGTGGTACTGTTGTTCCAGAACAGCCGTCTCATCTTTTGTCATTTCAAGTGGTATCTCAGCTTTTTATGGTTAATCTGTGATTGTTGAAATCAGATGCTTAACTGGCGAGCGCCTCTTTGTCAAACTGAGGAGAAACTGCTAAAATATCCTCTTCTCACCTGTCCTAAAATGTCCTCCGGGTATAACTACCCCGAGGTCAGTGTAGCGTCTGCGTTGCTAGAATACAAACGCTTTGGAGCTCGGTTCTGGTAAATCTTCATTGAAGGCAAAGCCTCATTTATGTGGAAAGCCAGGCTGGTCTAGGAACTCAGTGGGGAGTAGTTTTACTGCTGGTAGTTCTAAGGATGAGCTTTGTGTAGAATTTTAGCTTTTTTACTTCGATATTTACTGAATGTTTCGTACATACAAGATACTATACAGTGCCTCAGAGGGTTAAAAAAAAAAATAATGCTTGGTCCTTTTCTTAAGGAACATGCATTCAGTTTTCCAGAGAAAATAGAAACCAACAGGCAGGAAATTCCTCAAGTTTTTCCTTGTTAAAATGGATGAGGTTTCAGTTATATTTTGGGTCAAACATTCCATCTATGTGGTGGGTCACAACTCATCTTTTTTAGCATCATCAGGGACCTTAATATCAGTTACTCCCTTTGTCCCTGTGTCTGCGGTCTCTCTACTGGCTTATCTCCATCAGCACTGAAACATGCAGATGTCTCCTGTCTCTAACAAGATACATATACTGTTCTTTTTCTTTACAGCCAGCTGCTTAAAATAAATTCTAATTCCCACTCACTCCTTAACCTGAGGCAGTCTGGTTTCTGCCTTCATCATTATACTGAATCTGCTCTAATCAGGGAAGCTAGTGACCTCTGTGTTTTATTAACCCACCTGGCAGCATTTGACATTGTTGACTGGCCGTCATCTTCAGCTCTTCCCTTGTCATGTTTTATACCACAGCTTCCTCTTTTTCCTTCTACTTCTCAGCCTGCTTATTCTTGATCTCCCTTACAGGCTGGGGTATTTTATTTTGGTTCCTAAAATGTTGGTTTTTCTTAAAGTTCAAGCCCAACCATTTCCCCTTCACACTGAGTATTCTCTTTAGCAAATCTTGTACTCACCTCTGTGATTTTAGTTACCATTGATATTGGGAGATTTATTAAGAAGTGGACACATTGGATAGACTTCCCAGTATCCATCAGCTCGTTGAAATTTAATTTAAAATTTAGCATGTACATGTGTATATGACCCTCTTCCCCTCCCCCTGTTTACAATGTTATTAGATGGATCTTTGACTCAGAAAGATCAAGAACTAGTCATTTCTGTGCTGGTAACTCCAATGTCATTACCCCTCACACTATGTTCCAGCTCTACTGAACCTTTTTCATTTTTTCAGTTCTTTAAACCTGCCTTTTTTCACACTTATTTATCCCTGTAAGTGGAACAGTCTCCTGTAATCCTGTCCAGTTCCTCTCTTTCAGTAGTAGTCAGCAAGGATCTTTTGAAAGTTTTTTTTATGATTGTGAAAAAACAGTGTTGTAGGGGAGTTTGTTGTCATGTTGATACCATATTTTGACATCTGCAAGGTAGACTTTTTTCCCCTCAACATTTTACTATGAAAATTTTCAAACATACAGAAAACTTAAAAGAATTATACAGTGAACACCCATATGCCTTTTACCTAGATTCTGTAATTAAAGCTGCAATTAACATTTTACTGTATTTGCTTTATCATGTAACTCTCCATCTATTCATCCTTCTGTCCATTCATCAATCCGCCTAGCAATGCAGAAACTACATTTACCTGAGAATAGTTGTACCAGGCAGGGCATTTTAGGACAGGTGATAGGAGGGTATTGACTATTTTGATGGTCACAAATTAACTATAAAAAGCTGGGATACCATTTGAAATCGCCACAGGTGAGGCAGTTCTGCAGGAATAGCAGTACCACAGAGACAGGTGTTTTTCAGCTGCAGATAGGGTAATGAAAACAATTTGCTGATCTTTATGCATTTCAAATCACATTGTAGACATCAGTACACTTACCTGTAAACAATTTGGCGTACATATCGTTAACTAGAATCAATGTTTGCTTATATTTCTTTTCGTGTGTATGCACAAATTTGCATACAGAGACGTGCACAAATCTTAAGTGCACTGTTCAATGAGTTTTGATAAGGGCATACGTAACCCATGTAAACCCAGTCTATTTCAAGATACATAATAATTACCCTCATCCCACTTTTGAGTCATTTCCTCCCCCTGCCTGCTCCAGAAGTTACCACTGTTCTGATTTCTTTCCACTCAATTTTGCCTGCTCTAGAACTTCACATAAATGGGATCATACTGTGTACTCTTTTACGTCGAGCTTCCTTTGATCAAAATGATGTTTTGATGTTACTGCATGTATTTGTTGTTTATCCTTTTATTGTTGAGCAGTATTCTGTTGTGTGAATATACCCAGTTTATGTTTCTTCCTACATATTGGTCCTCTCTGAGAGGATACCACTGCGTATTTGTCAGCTTATTTGAAATATAACAGTTACATACTGCATAATCAAAAGGAACAATTTTGGATGCTGAAATAACATTTTGGGAGTGAAGAACTGTAGCTTGGAATTCTAGGTCAGTACAATGGATTTGAGGACCAGAGCTTTTGTCCTAGCTGTTACTCATCCCCTTACTAAGTCCTGCGAATGTTACCTGACCTAATGCTTGGCTTTTTCACTTCTAAAAGGGGATTAATACTGTTGAAAAGTCTTCACCATTCTTAGGGTAGTTTTGATGTTCATGTAATACCATCAGTTCTTTACACCAGGTAGTATCATCATCATCTTTATATCTGTAAAGCTGTGTTTGGAGTGTGGTGGATAAGTCCAGAAATATTTATTGCATTAATGAATGAACTTTTAGAAAAACTTTATTCTGGAAGTTTTAAGGAACACAAAAATAGAGAAAATTGTATCATGAACTTGTATACTCTTCCCCTAACACATAACTGTAGAAAATGACATGTTCTTATATAACCAAAATATCACACCCAACAAAAGTCAAATTAGTTCCTTAATCTCATGAGATACTCCTCTCACATTCGTGTATTTCCCAATTGAATGAAAATCTGTAGATAAATATGTTTTTACAGTTGGTTTTTCAAATCAGATTTACACAAAGTCCGCTTGTTGCAATTGATTGTCATGGCTCTTGGTTTCTTTTAATTGAGGACATTTTCGTTTCTCCAGCTCCCCCTCTTTTTCCCCCATGTCGTTTACTTGTTAGAGAAATGGGGCTAGTTTTGTAAAATGTACCAGATTTGTATGATTGCTTCCTGGCATTGCCATTTAGCTAATTCCTCTATTTCCTGCGTTTAACAAGAGTACTTTGTAGATGATGCTCTGCACTTCCTATGGTATAACATAGGTGGTGCATAATCTTTTACTGATGCCAAGCTTGGTCAGTGGGTTCAAATGTTGGCAGCCTGATCTTTCCATTGTTGCCATTAGCCTTTCTCATAATGGTTTTAGCATCTGTTGATGATCGTTGCCTGAATGAATGAGCCTTGAAACTATGAGGTGCTAAGTACAGGTGTGGAGGTATTATTGAGGTACTATTAATATGATATAATTACTATTAATAAAGGTAGGGCAATATCTTTATTTTAGCAAAGTCGTCAATGGAATAATATCCAAGAGGCAGAGCTGCAGATAATAACAAGCCTTCAAATTAGGGACTGTAGATTTAACAATGAGGATACTTTTATATACAAGATTTAGAGCTTCCTTGTCTCTTTACATCAAATCACATTAAAACAAGTACCTATAAACCATCTTTTTAATAAAAGATTCACCAAGACCATTCCATATCTAGCTTATTTTAAGA